AGAAGTGTAAAGCCTTATGGAGGCCTGGTGTGAGTAAGAGAAAATGAGGAGAAGTTTGCATGTGTGCCAAGGAAGGTTAATTGGTGTAGAAAATAATAGGTTAAACTATACTTTTTTATGGTTTAATATTCTGAACAGATAGACTGTGTATGCAAAGTTCCTGAAACAAATAATAAATAATACATTCAAGGTAGAAGTGAATGGATGGCATTGAGTTATCAAACTGAAAATAATAGGCTGCATTAAAACAATGGGACACTTCTTACACAGACTTCAATTACCATCAACTAAACAAAGATTTTAGGTGGCAGCTGGGAAGACAACAGATTCTGAACTGCTTTTTTGTAAGTATTCTGCATTTAATTTATTAGTGAAAAAGATTTTGATTTGTTGCAATTGTTTTCAAATTTTTAACTTTGCCACAATTTCAAAGGACTGATTAGCTAACATTATGCATTGATTTTGTCCTGTAGCCTGGTGACAAGGAATAAAATTGTATACTTATTTTTTCTCTGCATTTACTTCTAGGCCCACTTCCTTACTAGCATCTATTAGAGTTTCTTTGTTTTCCTTTACGATATTAATGTTTTCCTCAATTAAGATTATTGGCATAGATCAGAAGCTGATGTGTCCAATTCAGTTACAATCTTTCTCTCTCTCTTTTTTTTTGGACCTTCCTGATAGCGTATTCCAAATCAACGTTTAAAAGTAGTGGTGATATAGTATCTCCCTGTTTTAAACCATTCTGAACAGGAAACTCATGACACAAATTACTTTCTTAATTAGTTTAAAATATGTACTTAGCTACATAAAAGTATAGATTTCAAGAATAATCCCCTCAAGATAATTTGATATTATTTTACAATAGATAAATTATAATAAACATGTAACTATAACCAGCCAACAATGTCAGTATAAATGTGGATGTTGTTAATGTATTTTGATTAAATGTATCCTATTCAAGTGGAGATTTGCAAACGTTTATTCCGTAGTTATCTTGAAAGGCATCTATGTTCTTATATATTTGCCACACTGGCTTGGTGTCAATGCATTTCAATCTGTTTGAATATATGGCCCAATGTCATAGTTGAGTTTTCTATGTCACATCTTACCAAATGCTTGATACCGTCTTCTTTACTGTTTTATAGTCCCTGATAGCTTCTCTAGTTTAAGTTACTGGAATTTCATACATTTCACAGCTAAGATTAATAATGAATTCAAATTATACTAACTCGCTAATTCTGGCAGCTGGTGACAGATAATTATTAGATAGTAGTTGACCTTATTATCGGCTGATCTTCGACGATCATCAAGTATGTAATACCTATCGATGGAGGGCAGTACAGTACGCACGATTGTCGTGAAAGGAAGCATCTGTGAAAGCAAGCGACGAACGGGAGGGAACGTCCTTGTCACAGATACTTGAGTCATAAAGACGCGTGTTTGTAAGGGTTATAGTGTAGTTGTGTGTTGTATTAAATATTTGAAATGTGTGGTCAGTGTCGCTACTGATTTTTACGAAATATTAACTGTGAAAAGTGTTGCAACTTGTTTATTTCAGTATCATAGTCCGTATATGGATTATTTACTGAAATACCCATGGTCATAAAATGAGTGAGGATAATCAAGAAAACAGAGGTAAGATGGCGGCTTTGTTTGTTTCATAGGTCGTAACTGTACAGTACGAGTCTTCATTAAATCCTATAATGCAAACGATGCCTACATTATGTATTGTCGAATACGTGCTGTATAAGATATGCCTGTTTTCTTAATTTGTCTTTTCGCGCTGCTCCTTCTTTGCGTACGTACATAATACACAATGTTATGCTTCATCAGAATGATGCACCTGAAGCTTTCTACCGCCATCCTACATAACGCGAATAAATTTAATTCACTTCAGTAGACTACTTTTTATTCTTTATGACTTCTGTGTTTTGAAAGGTTTCTGACACTTCATTGGAATCTTCTGTACCCTAATCATTACATCCCAGACATGTCCTTCAGCTGCTATTTAAATTGGTGTAATTACTATTATTAATTGTGAGCTGTGACAGTTAAGTAGCTGGTTGGGTTAGGATTTATGTGGACTAGAAGTCAAGAACAATATTATTTTTTTTTACAAAAGGGGTTTGATAGCTTAAATCATCTTAGGTCTACTTCTGTATGGAAATAGGATCATTGCACTGAAATGAATGGAAATTGGAACTCCATTGCACCATTTCTTATAATAATTTTAAAAATTTATCTTATGCCCATTTTAGATTTTATTAATTTAAATGTACAAATTATGGACAAGCATATCACTTTTATCAACTTCATACAAAATTTTATGCAACATTCTTATCTCAAGGTGAAGTTCATATGTAGACGAAATTATTGGGGATAATCAGTGTGGGTTTCAACATAATAAGTCAACTGCTGATCATATTTGTTGTGTTCATCAGATACTGGAGAAAAAATAGGAGTATGATGAGACAGTACATTAACTATTCGTAGACTTCAAGAAAGCCTATGATTCAGTTTGGAGGGAAGTATTTGACAATATTGTTATTGTGTTTGGTATACCCATGAAACATGTTAGGCATATTAAAATGTGTTATAATTAAACCTATAGTGAAATCTGTGTAGGTAAACATTTGTATGGCATTTCCTGTTCAAAATGGTCTAAAACAAGGAATTCTTTATTGTCATTGCTTTTGAATATGCCATTAGGAAGGTCCAAGAAAGCCACATTGGACTGAAATTGAATGGGAGTCATCAGTGTCTGGTCTGTGCCAATGATGTAAATCTGTTGGGGGGGGGGATAACAAAAATACCGTAAAGAAAAACACAGAAGCTCTAATTGATGCTAGTAAGGAGGTTGGTCTACAATAAACACAGAGACAACTAAGTCTTATCACCAGAATGCAGGGCATAATTGTAACTTAAAGGTAGCTAATAGATCCTTTAGAAATGTTGCAAAGTTCAGATATTTGGGAGTGACAGTAACATATCAAAATTTGGGTCATGAGAAGATTAAATTTGAGTAATGCTTACTACCATTCAGTTCAGAACCTTTTGTCTTATCATCTACCATCTAAAAACAAAGATTAAAATGTAGAAAAGTATAATTTTTTATGTAGTTTTATGTGGGTGTGCAACTTATCCCTTACACTAAGGGAGGAACGTAGACAGAGGGTGTTTGAGAACAGAGTACTGAGGAGAATATTTGGACCTGAGGGATGAAATACTAGAAGGCTGGAGAAAGTTGCATAATGAGGAGCTTCATAAGTGGTATTTGTTTCCAAATATGATTAGACTGACCAAGTCAAGGAGTATGAGATGGGCAGTGCATGTAGTTGCCTGCATGAGAGAGAAGATGAGAGCCTACATAGTTTTGGTTGGGAAATCAGAAGGAAAGAGACCACTAGGAAGATCTAAACATGGTGGTAGGATAATGTTAAAATGGATCTTAGAGAAATGGGATGGGGTGGTATGAACTGGATTCATCTTGCTCAGGATAGGACCAGTGGTAGTCTGATATGAACATGGTAATGAACCTTTGGGTTCCATAAAATGTTGGGAACTTCTTGAGTGGCTGAGTGACTGTTGGCTTTTCAGGAAAGACTCAGCTCCATGGAATAAGTAAGGAAGTAAGTAAAGTAATTGTGGACAAGCATGTATACCAAGTTAATGGGTGGAGCTGCACCTCCATGTCTGTGTGTGTGTGATTTTTAGTTAAGTAACAGGGACAACTTTACTTTTGCTTTTGGATTGTGGACCCAGTTTACTATTTGAGGATGTACCTTGCAGTCAGGGCATTTGGAACAAACATTGTTGAAAATCTATATGTTGTGTCAGATGAACCTCTCTACCATTATATTTCTGTCTTATTCAGTATGTGGTGCAGGTAAGTGCCCAGTTAAGGTAAGAAGGCACAGTTTATTGAGGTTCCACTGTATTTTGAGGGGTATTAGGAAATTTTGTGGTGTTTCAAAATTTTTATGTATTTGTTCCACTATTTCTAGTAGAACTCTGGATGGGAAACACATCTAAAGTATTGCATTTGCTGTCTAACAATCTATTCAGATAGATGGACTTCTTCAGTCCCTTTTAAACATTTTTCAGGAATGGAGAGAGAAACAGTTGATATTTATGCATTCATCCTTTTGTTTTCACTTATTAATCTTTGTTGACTATTTTTTTGGTTATAGTCTGTAGAACTAATGAAAGTAAATGGTATTAGCAGTTGAGATGTATCAGGAAAATAGTACAGGCTCAATTATTTTTGTCCATTTTAACAGTTCATAGAATAAGAACTTTGTTTTTTAAGTAAATTCTTTTTTATGCCAAAATGTTGGCAGGTTTTTAGAAGGAGAAATTGCTTATGTATTATGACACATATGGTTAGCAGATTATATGAAACTCAAATTGCAGTTCATAACATTGAAGATAACTCCATCATATCTTTCTTAAGTTAATGCATTGCTATTCAGTATAGAGTTCTGAGAATTTGGTATGAACTTAGAAGGATTTAGGTTTTTACGGCTGTGAGTCTGAAGATGGCTGTCTTCTGGGTTGTAGTGCCGTGTAGTCAGGTAGAAGTTTACCAACGTTTCAGAGGTCCTTGCTGCCTCCATCAACAGGGTGATAGTGACCCTTGGTATGAACTGTTTTATATATAAACTCATGTTGAGTTCCATTGTCACATGTATATGAAAATAGTTCATGGCATTTGCAAGCCATGAAGAAGCTCAGGATAATATACTGGAATGTGAAGAGAGACTTTTTAATTGAAAGATAGTTATATTGGGGATTGATACACATTTATTAGTCAGTGTATATACTTTTGTTGCAGGGGAACAAGAAGTAAATATCTTGGCGGAAATCCTAGATAATTCAGCTGATGTTTTTGAGGATTTAGCTAAAGAAATTGGTTCAGAGGATATTATTGGTAAGTATACTGATTGCTGTTTCATATATTTTTAAACTTTTATTGCACGGGGTGTGTGTTTGCTGTGGAAAATACCTTGCCACTTCTACCACTGTGATGGCATGCTAAGGGAAGCAACAAATCTGGCTGCTGTCACCAATTGTAATGACTTGGCACTTAGTGTCAAAGTTTGAATCCCAGTGCTGTGATCACTTTAAGTGATGTATTGTGAGTTTGGGGCTCAAACCTCAGTAGCTGATATGCCATCACCTTGCTCAAAGTCCACCTGTGTACTGTTGTAACCTAGGTGCAGTTCTTACAAGGAAAAATTATCCTTTCAGTCCAGTATTTCACAGAATTGGTCTGGAATGGCAGTTAGAAAGGGTTGCTCGAGCGTGGTCATATTGCTTGATCATCCTTTCCCCTGGTAGGAATGGCTGTGAGATTCAAGTACAGTACTTGGTTTGATTATTTACAACCATATTATACATAACTACAAGATACATGTTAATATGAAATGTTCCATGCCTGGCCTGATATTTGTTGCTCTTCCTTTAATGCCTATAATTGTAATGGCTGTCCCACGCCATAGTCGCGCAGTCTGAGGCGTCATGCTTTGGACCGGTGACACGGAATGTGCATTGGTTTGAGTCTCGGGGAAAGAAATTTCTCATGAGATTTACAACCTGTGTATGGGACCGGTGCCAACCTAGCAT